ATTTTACTCATTGTTAAACTTGCAAGTGCTGCAATATTGCACTTACGTGTTAAGTGTGATGTCCCTTTAATGCTATCCTAAGACCACTGTCTCATTGAATTTGCTTGTCATCATCACTGCAATGCCATTTCACAAGAGAAAGCAATGCTCTCCAAGCAGTGTCAGTAACTAGAGTAAAATGCAGCAGACTGTGAATGATACGCCAGGCAGGTGTCATATACAATTTACTGGCCAGGGATTGCCTGGGGACAACTGAGCACAGTTTAACTACATCCAGGGCAAGACATTAAAGCAACACTTCACACACCTAAAGCAGTTTAGCTCGTATTTAATATTTAGAAAAAGTGCAAATTTCAATAGAAATTGTGTATTTTATAAATTATCCTTTACTGACAACTGTCCTGTTACTTCCTGGTTTCTTAGCTCAGTGGAGCTAAACTCAAGAGGCAGCAAATGCCCAGAGCACCTGCCTTGCAAAGATATTTCATTGAGCTGCATTGGGATGTCTGTGATTGGACAGCCACATAAAGTCTGAATGGGTTAGAAGAAGAGGGATTGCAAAGGCTGCAGACAAGATATCTGCAGCTTTTAATAGCCTGTCAGATCTAGCACATGTGCTACAGGGACTTCTGATCCGCCTCCCTGCTCTTCCATGGTCAGTGTGAAGTGCAGGGAGACGGATCAGTGATGATCTGCTTCTTCCTGTAAAAAAATAAAGTTTAAGTTAAATCCCACCTCCCCTTTCCCCTGCTTTAATAAAATTAACCCCTTCCCTGCCAATTGATCACTGACTGCAGTGATCAATTAGCAGGGACTACATTTTACTGTCATCTGATTATTATTATTTTATTTTTTTTATAATAAATTTTTTATTGATTTTTCAGTATTTGAAACATGTTTCACATATGCAAAGAAATGGAGCAATGGTTACAGTGGAGAAGTATATCACACTTCCTGGAATAGCTTACATTACTAAGTTAACATTAAGGAAATCTAATGTAATATCATAACATGTATTCACATAACCATAACCTGCTTCGATGTCTAGATCTCGTAAACTTGTCAACTTTCAGTCTAGGCTCAACCAATGTTCCGTATCGTAATGTGAAGAGAGAACTGGTGGGGGGGAGTAGAAGGAGGGGAGGGTATGCTGGGGTGGGGGTTGGGGGATCGGTTCTTTGTCAGGGCCGTGATCCCTATCTGGGACCCTTCTTGACTATTTGCTCGTTTGGGCTGACTGTCGCCAGTCATCCCATTTTCTCCATGCCGTTTGCCAGACCGTACTAACCGCCCTCATCTGCCTTGCAGCTGTTTCGTAGGATTTGGTGGTTTCCACCAGGTCTAGACATTTATCAATGTCTGGGGGTGTTTCATTGAGCCACATTCTGCTTATGGTCATGAGAGCTGCGATAATGATATGGTAGATAAGATACAGGTCTACCTTTTGCAGTTTCTGGGGTAATGCTAGTAGCAAGTAAGTTTCTGGGGAGAATGGTATGGCAAGTCTTGTGGATGCCGTAATGATATTAGAGATGCTACCCCAGAAGGGTTTTAGTTTTGGACATGTCCATCATATGTGGAGCATTGTACCTGGCTCTTTTAGGCACCTCCAGCAAGCCTCTGACTTCCATCTATCATATTTGTGTAATTTAGTCGGTACCATGTACCAGCGATATAACACTTTCCTACAAGTCTCTATATGGGAAGTGTTCAGCGTTAGATATTTATGAGCAAACAAAATTTTGGACCAGTCTTCGTTGGGTATATCTGTGTTCAACTCTCGTTCCCAAGCTCGCACAAAGTGTAATGTTTTTGGTGATGCCTGGGTTCTAGATGTTTTATATAGAAGAGATAGCAGTTTTTGCGGCTGCTTATTGGTTACGCATAGTTTTTCGATCACATATAGTGTAGTGTCCTGTTGGTGCGTCTTATCTACATTGACGTGTTTCCCCACCCACGAGTGTAGTTGTAAGTAAGCAAAATAGGCTCTGGGGGGTAAATCAAATGTGTTAGAGAGCGAGTCATAGGTCAGCAAGTGGCCATCCAGCATTATCTGGGATAGGCATTTGATCCCATGGTTATACCATAGACCGTGGTCAAATCCAGGGATAAGGACATGTAATGCTTGGATTTGCAGTGCCGGAGAGATATATGAGGCAGGGTAGTGTTTTTTAACATATCTATCCCACACTGCGAGTGTAGCTGCCGTGGTGGGGCAGGCGTTCAGGTATCGTGGCCTTTTATGTTTGGGAATCCAGGCCAGGGTGGATAATGACATTCCGCCAGTGTGTACCATTTCTATTTGATGCCATGGCGGCGGTATAGTGTGGTGGAAGGTCGCCATGAGGGCACTCATTAGGGCCGCTGTATAGTATCCCATGATCTCTGGTGCCCCCATCCCTCTCTCCTTAAAGGGTTTATACATGGTGGCTGCTGCCACTCTAGAGGGTTTCCCTCCCCAGATAAACCCATTTAGTAGGCGTTGGGCTTCAGTAAAAAATTTATTTGGCAGGTGGATTTGGAGTGATCTAAATAAGTATTGTAACTTTGGTAGTATCATCATTTTTGCTGCCGCTATCCTACCTGTCCAGGAGATATATTTCCCCTTCCAACTGTGTAGTTGTTGTTTAACATTACTAAGTAATGTAAGGTAGTTCGCTTTGTACAGCTTTCTAATTGTGGGTGTGAGGCGAATTCCCAGGAATGTCAGGTGGTCCCTTCTCCAGTCGTATGTGTGTCTGCCTTGTAGGTTAGTGAGTTGCTCCACGGTGAGATTAAGGCCCATGGCTTGTGTCTTACTGATGTTAAGTTTATTGTAGGAACAATTGCCAAACTGTGTTAGCATATTTTGGAGTTGCGGTAGTGAGGTGTCAGGATGCGATACGGTGAGCATCACATCGTCGGCAAACAGGGTGATCTTGTGCGTTTTCCCCCCTATAGTAATCCCCTTAATGTCGGGGGAATCCCTTATTCGTTGTGCTAGGGGTTCTAATGCCAGTATATATAATAGTGGAGAGAGCGGGCAGCCCTGCCGGGACCCGTTGGAGACCTGGAACGGTTTGGAAATAAAGCCTCCGTTTGCTATTTTTGCTGTGGGGTTATCGTACAGCGCTGAAATTAATGTAATGAAGCCCTCTGGGAAGGCGAACTTCCTCAATACTGCCTCCAGGTATCCCCAGTGTAGCCTGTCGAATGCTTTCTCAGCGTCTAACGACAGTGCCACACTAGGTTCTCCCGATGTCTGGATGTTGTGGAGGATGTTAACCAGCTTCCTGGTTCCATCCGAGCCCTGCCTGCCCCGTACAAAGCCCACCTGGTCGTCCCGAATTATTCTGGGAAGGATTGTTCCTAATCTATTAGCATATATTTTTGCTAGTATTTTGAAATCTGTATTTAGGAGCGATATAGGTCTTAAATTCTGGCATTTGTGTGGTGGCTTCCCAGGTTTTGGTAGAGTGGTTATGTGGGCTAACAGCATCTCTTGCGGTATTTTGCCTGTCTTGAGGATAGTATTGTAGAGTTTTTCTAGTGTAGGGGTTAAGATGTGAGAAAAGGTTTTGTAATATGCATTGATAAAGCCATCTGGGCCAGGAGATTTCCCCTTTGGGAGTGCTTTGATTGTGCTTGTTATTTCATTCTGAGTAATGGGTTCTTCCAAGAAGGACCGGTCTACTTGTGTAAGTAGTTGTGTGTGGGCTTCTGCTAGGAAAGTGTTGATGTCCGAGATAAGTGGTTGGTATGTATGTTCATCCTTTTTTAGGTTGTATAACGCGTCGTAATAGTCTGCTAACATGTCATCAGTGATGTCACAGGGGTTGTACACCTTGTTTCCTAGTGGGTTTATAAGGAACAATATTTTTGAATTTTGCCTTTTTTGCCGTAAGAGAGCTGCTAAGGTTTTCGCTGCTCTGTTTCCCTGTGTGTACGTTCTGAGTTTGAGCCTGTGGGTTATAGTGGCTGTCGTGTGGAGATGAATGTCATTTAATCGTTTTTTGATTTGGTCTATGTTCTGTTGCATGGTGGTAGACGGGCTTAGTGCGTGTGTAGATGTTTCGTCCCTGAGCTGTCTCATGAGAGTTATGTATTCTGTCTTTGCCTGCTTATTTAGATAAGATGCCTGGCTGATCATGAGACCGCGGATGAATGCCTTATGCGTCAGCCACGTTGTGGCTAAAGAGAGCTCAGGTGTGTCGTTTATAGCGAAGAACGATGTCATTTCTTCAGTAAGTTTAATGGTAAAATTAGGGTTGTGTAGAAGAGCTTCGTTCATGCGCCACGGCAATGATATGCAGGATTGAAATTGATCTGTTAAGGTCAGCATTACTGGGGCATGATCAGACCAAACTATATCTCCTATTTCACTTCGCAGCGCATTCGACATTATGTCACCCGAGACGAATATAAAATCAATTCTGGAGTATGTTTTATGTACTGAGGAGTAAAAGGTGAATTCCCGATAATTCGGGTGTTGTGCTCTCCACACATCATATATATTGTGTTCCATAAGGAGTTTTATCAATGTTGTGGCCTGTTTGTTTAATGTTTTACATCTTGAAGACTCAGCCGACTGCGTGGTATCTAGTCTGGGCTGCATGATGTGGTTTAGGTCCCCACAAAGAATTGTGGAGGAAGGGTAGGTAGTGGGAATTTTGTGTAAAACTTTCTGGAGAAAGTTCCTCTGGTCAGTATTAGGGCTATATATCCCCACTAGTGTGTACAAGGCGTTATTGATTTTGCAGTGCATTATTAAATAGCGGCCCTGCGTATCTTTTTTGAGATTCAGGAGTTCAAATGTGATTGAGGCATGAATAAGGAAGGAGACACCCCTAGAGTTAGATAAATAGGTGGAGTGGTATTGCGTAGGGTAGTCCTTGCTCGCAAATATGGGTACCCTGTTGTGTACAAAATGTGTCTCCTGTATGCACAATATGTCTGTTTTAGTGCGGTTTGCGTCTTCAATGAGGAGCCTCCTTTTGTGTGGTGTATTTATGCCTCGGGTATTAATAGTCAGTATCTTCATCATTTGTGATTAAGTACGGAACAATGCTGTAAAGGAAATTCAGTGTTAAACTATCTTTCCCTTCACATAGAGGAAGGCGTTGTTGTAGTATTAGTATCAATAATTGAGGTGGGCGGGGATCAGGCCCATTATTGTATAGTAATACGGGGGCATATAAGTGGCGGTGTTGGGCAGGATTCTTATTTGTCCCTTTAGAAGTTTGTAGCCGATCACGGGTATCTTGGGGTAGGGGAGATGAACTAGGGGAAGAAGTTTGAACTATGTACAGAATGTCTCCCGTGGAGACAGTGTGTGGTTGTACCACATCCGGGGGGTGGATGAGAGAACTCTCTACCATGAGCGTGGCTATTTGGGCATCTATGTATACCTTGATGAGCTGCATCTGCAGTGTAAGGAGTGTGCCGGGGCGTATTTGCTCGTCTGGCACAGGTTTCGCTGACATAGCATTGGCTGGGTTTGGGGTGGTCCCAACCAGTATTAGGTCACTCTATACGGCTCCACCAGTGGGTTTTACAAAGGGGTTTTATATGGCTATATGCCGGGGTTGCATATCCGGCTCCGGTCTGGTTCGGACCCGTGTTCGTGTTTAAACCCAGTGTCTTACATTATATACATCTCAATATGAACACATGTGTAGGCAACAGTTTTACCCATTAAGGTTCGACTACCATTCCCGCCGCTAGCGTCCCCCCCTCTACCTTTATCTGCTCTACATCACATTTTCTCAAGTCGCCATAGTCCACATTTATAGGAAGCCTAGGTCACAGGCCCCCCGTTACCTTGCGAGGCATTCGGAGCCCGTCCCATGGCTCTGGCAGTTGGGCAATGTCAGTTAACGCTGATCGTAGGGCCTAGTCCGTGTGAACGGGTGTCCATCTACGCAGGCCTCGTGTGTGCCCGCCGCCTTGAGCAAGTGGTGATGCGGATGTCTTGTTATCCAAAGGCCTAGGGTCAATAAAGGGGATCTCGGGGAGTCAGAATGAGAGGGTGTCTCACTGGCCCGTGCGAAGGTCCAGACTGGGGTCCCCCGCAATTGGCCACTGCTCTGCGCACGCTTCGTCACAGGGATGGCGGAAGAGCCCGGTCCGGTACCCCACATCCGTGAGGACCTCCCCATGGGGCAACCATTCGGCATGGGACAGTCCATAGTTACTTTTCGTCAGTGGTGGAGGGAGACCAGTACATTTCTCGTCTATTGTGTTGAATTGCACAGTCTTTACGTGGAGAAGAGTAAGTGTCCGCAAACCAGTTTGTCAGCTGGTTCAATGTTTAACGTGGGATTTTTTCCAGTCCCGTTTGAGTGTACCTGCTTGGTGTGTAGAGTTTGTTACCGGCTCCACCGGCATGTCCCAAGCCAGCAGTTTCGTTACACCCTCTTCTGGGGTATTCATCACTGTCGTGCCGCCATCTTTTGTGACTACCAGTTTAGTGGGGAAACCCCATCGGTATCGGATACCATGCGACCGTAGTGTGTTGGTCACTTGAGAGAATTCCCTTCTTTTCCGGAGAGTGGCGGCTGACAGGTCTGCGTAAATCCTGACAGTGGGGTAGTCGGGTGGGGGTTTAGCCCGTATTCTGCTGCTTCGAAGTATGTGTTCCTTGATATGGAAGTAATGTGCTCGAAGTAGTATGTCTCTGGGTACTGTTTGTGGGAGGTGCCGGGGCTTCGGGATGCGATGCACCCTGTCTACGAGCAGCATGTCCATTGGTATCTCTGGTGCGTGGGTATGTAGTAGGTTCCGCACATATGCCTGCAGTTCTTCATTGGAGATATCCTCGGGCACTCCTCTCAGACGGAGATTTGTCTTCCATGTGCGACGTCCGCTTACCTAGTTCTTGTATATCTTTACGCATGGAGTCTGCTGTATGCTGCCATGTGGTGATGAGCTTGTTAGATAGGATCTCCAGGGCTGCTGTGAGATCGGCTTTCGTTATTTGCTATGTATCTGGTGTCGATTCCAGGGGATTAGCCTGTGTGCCATCATCCAATTCAGGATCCATGGGTTCTTTTGAGGCCTGCGCCGCCAATGTCGCAGAAGTCCGCTTTTGGCTGAAAAAATTGAGCTTGTCCGGTTTTGCCGAGCTCCTCTTGCTTTTGTGGTGATACATCGCTGTTTTGTGGCAGTAGATGCTGTTTAAAACGCTAGGATTGCATTAGATTAGGTGCCCTGGTGCCGGAGCAAGGTTTCATGTGACCATCTTGCTCCGTGGTTAGCCACGCCCCCCCGATTATTATTTTTTAACCCCTGAGGATTAATTTTTTTTTTAACCCTCAGGGATTACATTAATTTTATTAATTAATTTAAATATGTTAAAATTATATATTTAGCTAGCTGGGGTGGGTGGAAGTTAGTGGGGTATTGGGCAATTTGGTGTTAGCCTAGCTAGGGGTAAACATTAAAAAAGTTTTTAAAAAAGCTTTAAAAAGTTTTTTAAAATTGTTTAAATAACATTTAAAAATGTAAAAATAATCTCACCCCCTTTACCCAGTCCTAATAAAAATTATCCCCTTCCTCGCCAGTTGATCATTGCCTATTACATATATATATAAAAAGATGATAGCTTGGCACACGCCTTAAAAAAGAAAAACAATGTATTACTTGCCTGGGTGCAAATCTTAGGCGTCAATTATATAGAAATGAAAAATCAAGATGCACTCACAGGTCTTCAAATATAAGAAAAAATGGTGCTTTATTAATCCATGTGTGGTATACAAAAATCAATCGATGTTTTGACCCTGCCGGGTCTTTTTCATATACCACACATGGATTAATAAAGCACCATTTTTTCTTATATTTGAAGACCTGTGAGTGCATCTTGAGTTTTTCATTTCTATATATATATATATATATATATATATATATATATATACTATTTTGCTAGCTGGGGTGGGTGGATGTGAGTTATGGGAAATTGAGGAATTTACTGTTAGTGCTGCTTATTGCTAGTTAGGGGTAAAAAAAGTGTAAAAAAGTTTTAAGAAAGTTTAAAAAAGTTTAAAAAATGTAATAAGTAAAAAAAGTTTAAAAACAAGTTTTAAAAAGTAAAGAAAGTTTGAAAGAGTAAAAAATGACATGAAAAAATGCTCATTACCACTACACCACTGGAACAAACTAGCGGAAAAATTATCCCACGCTAATGTTCAAAATATGCCTTTTGAAATACCCCAGGGTGTATTCTTTAAAAAATGGTATGCGTTTGTGGAGTAGTTTGAATAACAAACAGCTAAACTACTCCAAAATGGAACATGGACACAGCATAAAACTTCAACGTTAGAAAAAAACTGTGTTTCAAATGTGCCACTTTACCATCCACATATACCTGGTAAAGGTACATATGAGGGTATTGCTGTACTCAGACGACATAGCTGAGCAACATATGAAGTATTATACAGCCGTAGCACACATAAGGTTTGCAAAATATACTGTGCAAACTCACTTTGTGTGTCAAAAAGGCAGAAAAAAAGCTTATTACCACTACACATGGTACATGCTAGTGGACAAAATGATCTCATGTTCAAAATATGCCTTTTGAAATACCCTGGGATGTCTTCTTTAAGAAACCGTATGCTTTTATTGGGGCAGTTGGAATATATAGCCTGCTAAAATACTCCAAAATGGGACATGGACACAGCGTAAAAATGTAAAGTTTGAAAAAACTGGAAAGGCTGTGTCTCAAATGTGCCCCTTCAATGTCCACATATACCTGGCCAAGGTACATATGGGGGTATTGCTGTACTCAGACGACATAGCTGAGCAACATATACTGTGCAAACTCACTTTGTGTGTCAAAAAGTCATAAAAAATGCTTATCACCACTACACTTGGTACAAGCTAGTGGAAACATTCTACGCTAAGGTTCAAAATATGCCTTTTGAAATACCCTGGGATGTCTTCTTTAAGAAATGGTATGCCTTTATGGTGTAGTTGGAATATGTAGCTTGCTAAAGTGCTCCAAAGTGGGACACGGACGCATGAAAACCCTCCATGAATATTCACACTTAAAAACCTGAGCTTGTCACATCTCTTTTACAGCACGGTAACTTAACAAAATAGTGTCTAGGTCATACATTGGGCATATTGTTTTACTCAGAAGATGTAATTGAGCATAATTTGGTGGACTTTATGACAGTGGTACATATCAACGGTAAGAAATAATCAGCACAAACATTGGCATGAATTGGTGAAAATATGGTGACAAGTTAAGGCACAATATATGCCATATAAGATACCCTGGGATGTCTGCTTTATCAAATTAAAGCTCTTTGTGTGGTTATTTGAACAGTCAAACTGCTAAAATACCCCCAAATGAGACATGGGCCCATCAAATCCAACTATAAAAACTGAAATAGCCTTGTCTCTTATATGGCATTGTAGCTTCACAGAATAGTGCTAAAGGCATACAATTGGGGTATTGTTATACGCAGCAGATGTAGCTGAACACAATATGGGGTTCTGTACAGGAATAGCACACACCAGCTTTACGAAATACACATTACAAAAACCTTGTTATATGTGAATAAGCTTAATGTGAGCATGGCGCTCCCTGCCTATGCGCATTAGATTCCCAGATCACGCTGAAGTCGGTAGACGATTCAATTGGAATGCCAAAATAGAGAAAAAACACAATTTTACTCCAATATTTAGCAGAGATTGGCAATGAAATGGCTATGTTAAAAGTGTGAAAATAACCTTAGGTAAATAGCCTGTGAAGTCTACTTTATATAAATATATACTTTTTGTGTTGCAATTTGGTTTTCTGTGATGGCTACTAAACCTACAAGACAAACATACCAACTTCTAAAATAGTTTCACATTGAAATTTTATTTTAGTTCTTGTATTTTGTGTCATGTTACTTTCAAAATAAACTGAAATCCTACACATATTATGTACTCTATAAACCAAGACACATAAATGAATTTATTTTTAATTACCGGTACTTTTCGTAAGCTGGACATATTATGCACACGCTATTATTGTCAAAACTCTTTTAGTTTTTTCCCCATTTTTTTGATACTTTTTTTTTATAATTAATGAGAATTATCTATGTATATGTGACATCAAATTAAAGCCCCTTTTGCCCTCTAAAAAACGGTATATAACATGTGTTCTTGCAATAAATGACAGAGATGCAAACTGCGTTTGAACACAAACAGCAATAAAAATAAATGCTAAAATTTTGCCCTTAATGGTAAGACAAACTTTTGAAGCTGTGTCCTTAAGGGGTTAATCATGTATGTATGTGTTTCCCTTTCTACATTTGGAGTGTGTAAACGTTATGTCATGTCCTGTGCGTGGATGTATGCCAGCTCTTGCCATTAGAGAAACTGTGTGGATAAAATGCACTGGATTTCCTCCTCCCATATTTCTTGTCCTTATATCCTCCTCACACTGAGTCACACCGAGGTTACAAAGTGATCAAGTTTTCTCTTCGGATCTATA